ACAAATGAAAAATGCCAGTTTTAAATATCCACTGCAAATTAAAATCAACACTCAACGACTGCATCAAACCAAAGGCAAGTCTATAAATGCAATGAATTATTGTAATTTTGTTTTATCAGTTAGTCTTTTATTTTCGAATCATTTTGTACAATTTAATGAAATGAACAGTTATATGACAACATGTCTCTCCTAATTTTCATTAATAGTTTCAGGATAATTTGTGTATATTAATTCAAGTAGTGGCAGCCAGTAAAATAAGTGACACAAGTGTGCAAATGTTTACTCAAGCTTACAATACGCTTCGATGCTTTTGACGAGAACCATCGGTGCGACAATGCAGAAAAGGCGCCGAAAACAAAAGTTAGCTTGACCGCCCTTAATCGGCCTGTGTGTTTGCAGCCCGGCAATGTGTTTTTTCTACAAACACATGTTTAATTAAAGAGTCGATCAATTAAGGCAATCAGGCAGCAGTGGAATCTCAGTGAAGAAGAATGAGTACGAGCGCCAGAGCGTTGAGGCGACAATAAATCACTGTCGGGTAAATGTAAAGAAAGGCGCTATTCTGGTTCATTGTTTGCCACCTCGACCACGAGCGTTACGAAGACAAATTGACTTCTTCTGCAGTGCAGTCAATGTCAAAGCTAATTGGCTTATCGCCACTTTCTTTGTGTCACCGCATCTTTGCTGTTGCATCTTCTGATGGTCACGCAGAGAAAATGGGTGCCATTTTCAGATTGTGCCCATGCCTTCTCTCCCGTTTACTTGATCTCACACTGGGCACTCAGTAGCTGGCGTTCCTGTCAAACTGTCACACCGAGCTGAAGCGATCCACTTTCAATCGGGAAGAAGTGTAATATTGCAAAGCTGAAATTTTGATCAGAAAACTGTACTTTAGCCGAAAAGTGACTGCCAATTTGAATTTTTAACGCCACATTGCCAAAGTATCATCTTGTGGAAGACGTGCAAAGCAGGCAGAAAAGGAGAGAGAGAGAGGATACAATGGGCTCTGTGTTAGCGATCAGAATTTGCTGTGGAATTTCCAGCAGTGCCCGTACCAGTGTCTGCGTCTGTGTTTGTGTTGGCGTACAGGCGAATTCATCGTCGAGCAGTCACCTAGTTCACCAGTAATGGGCAAGAGATGTATACAAATTGTAAATCTTGCTACGTCTTCGTCTGACAGTCATATAATACGGCAGGGAAGTGTTCTGTCTGCACAGCAGTGAAACAGTGTGCTCAGTTGCTAAATCCGCTGTCACCAGTTCTGCGACCATTAATCGACTGGCACTTTGCAGTGACTCTGTCAACTGTTAACGACTGTGAGCGCCATTTTAATGCGCCAAAAACCGAAGTGACCAACTCGGCCGAGCAGCAAATAGACTTGACGAGAAAACTTTGACCGGAAACCATAACTGTTTGTAGTAAACCAATTAGAGGACGGTTCGCCTGGTGAGCCTTGTGTGATAGATTGTAGAGAATGGTAATTAAATGGACAAACAGTTGAGCCATTTGTAGACTCTCAGTACTCACTGCATTACTGTTGCAAAAACAGCAGACTGGCCAATGTCGATTTTGGGTGAAATTGAATTGCAAATTGCCGGTTCTGAATCGGTAGACACCATTTATTGATTCTCGTCCATACATCTCCAACACTTTATCACACGCTAAGCACTCTGGCATCGCATAGATTAGTCATCTGTAAGACAGCACTTTCTTTTCATCATGTACAGTCCAGAAACAAAATACACAAGAAAAAAACTGTTCCAGGAATTGTCCCGTGACTGATATATTTCTATGCAATCAAGCAGGCATCATTGAAATGATTGTTTGCTNTTCATCATGTACAGTCCAGAAACAAAATACACAAGAAAAAAACTGTTCCAAGAATTGTCCCGTGACTGATATATTTCTATGCAATCAAGCAGGCATCATTGAAATGATTGTTTGCTTAAAAGTGGCTGCTCAAAATAGTATTAGGGCTTTCAAGCAAAATGGCCCTAATGACGCCCACTTGATTGCCTGCACTATGTCACGTCGCCGGTCCTCGTTATCGATGTCTTCTCGGTCGCCATCGCTAGTGCACAATGTTCAGCTGCATTTACATTTTGCCCCTCCATTNTTAAAAGTGGCTGCTCAAAATAGTATTAGGGCTTTCAAGCAAAATGGCCCTAATGACGCCCACTTGATTGCCTGCACTATGTCACGTCGCCGGTCCTCGTTATCGATGTCTTCTCGGTCGCCATCGCTAGTGCACAATGTTCAGCTGCATTTACATTTTGCCCCTCCGTGCTACATTGTTGTTGTCCACTGCAGTGGTGGAAAAGCACACCGCCTTACTTGTTAGGTTGGTTCATCCCTGCCTCTCTCTGGGTGAAAGCGTGCCAATGGCAATGGAGAATTGGTCTGTCAATTGACCTGATTATCAATAATGCATATTGCCACTAATGCCACTGTGGGCACACGGCTTAGCCTTGCGATATATTGCCTCCTCTCTCTTTTCACAGTGCAGACACCTTGTCGGTCAGCCGGGCACTCACTTGCTCTGTGCAATCATGATATCATTCATGCATGTGTGCAAGAAAACACACACACAACTGCACACAAGGACCGGCAGAATGACTGTGTTTGTCAACTGACGCCGAGCAGATCGTCAGATCGTGTGGTGTAGTCTTTAGTTGAAAACAGCACTGGTAGCAAGATTAGCGAATGGCATTGTTAATTGCCAGCATTGCTCGCAACCATTCTCACAATGGGAACAGCCTGGGCACAACATGTTCATTGCCGTACTGTTCGACTAGTAATAGATTATGAGCCTAATGGAGTTTGCATCCACCTCCTGAAGACCCATTATCTGTTTGCGCAGCTTGCTCTCAATCGATACATAGAACACTTTTCATTTTACACTTTAAACTGCACTTTACATTCACAGCTCCTGCACTACTAGTCACATGAATGCTTTCAATGGACAAACAGATGAGCTTTCCTCGCAACTGAATCTTTGCTGACATGTGCCAAACCGCAGCAAAAGTATATTTATGCTTTGTGGATGATTGCCCGCTCTTTGTGTTAGCTACAGCAGTCGGTAGTGACCAGCCTTGACTGACCGACTGTACAGCAGTGCTGCTGCCACCAACAGAAGGCACATGTCGAAGAGAGGGAGAGAGAATTGCAGTGCGTCCACTGGCGTCAGCAGTAAAGTTCCTTTGTGCAAGTGCACCCAGCTCAAGTCATCGCTCGCATTAATTAATTAATTACCGAGTTCATTCGTCGTGCTTCATTCTCCTTTCACTGCTGCTGCTACTGCTGGGAGCCATTAATGGGAACTAATTAGATTAACTTTAGAGTTAGATTTTAGAACTGTACCTACTCCGAAAGTAAATCAAAAATTAACTTAATGTCACAGCTGACGTCAGCCAAAACCGTTTGTCTTTATTTGGGTCTGCCAAAAGAAGTCTTTATATTGGGTTATAACAATTTTAGATCTCAAACGCAAATAAAGAAAAGCCTCAAAATGTCAAATAGTTTGCACGAGTGTTTAACAGCTTTCATCCTGCTTGCAGAACAATCTTTGCCTAAATGCAACTGCAGGTGAAGTCAGCCAAGATCAGCCTGCTTCCGCACAAAACTCGGCTGCATCAGCTGAAAAATGAGTGAAAGTCCTTTTGGCGGCGGTGGTGGTCATTCCGAGAACGGCACAGAGACCACGGTGCCGCCTCCCAGTCCCAGTCTGCCCATTGTGTACACCGCTCTGGAGGCTGCTGTGGCGGTGTGTGCCGTTTTCGGCAACCTCCTCGTCATTGTCGTCTTCCTGCAGGACCGTCGCCTTCGCAAAGTCACCAACTTCTACATAATCAGCCTCTCAGTGGCGGACTTTCTGGTTGGCGCTATAGGTAGGTAGTGGACGGCTGGTTTTGTGCAATTAATCGGAAACATATTAGCTAACTTTTATTTCGGTCTTCCGTATCAGGTATCCCCTCTGCCATTCTCACCCGGATTGGAATACCGCGCAACTCTATCCGCCTTTGCCTCACCATGCTCAGTCTTCTCGTTGTTCTCTGCACCATCTCCATATTAAACCTGGTCGCCGTGTCGCTGGATCGTTACTGGGCAATACTGCACCCACTGGACTACCATAAAAGAATATCAGGTAAAATAGGAAAATAAATAGCAGCCATTAACTAAAACAATGGGCAAGCTGCCATAAAGATTGATGCTCCGGTAAAAGTATCTAAAGTGTGTGCCCGTGTGCACGTCGATTTGTTTCAGAGAAAACGGCGCTTGTCATCATCTGCATCTGCTGGATCCTCGGATCGGCGATTGGCTTTCTACCTCTCTTCGGCTGGAACAATGGCCACCTGGCTAGTGACGAATGCTTCTTTATACCAATCATGAACTACGACTTTCTCATGTTCCTCTATTTTGTGACCATTGTCTTGCCCGCCATAATCATGGCCTTCTTCTACATTCGCATATACATCGTCGTCGTCCAGCAGCTTAGTCTCAACAAGGTTAGTGTGCTTTCTCATTGTGTCTAACAATTCGACAATGACACTCGATGTGTTTCTCTCCTCCTCGACTGTCTACTGAAGGGGATGATGAAGTTCGGTGTAAAACGCTGTCACTTGCAGCAGCCCGAACTGAAGTAAACTGTAGTGAAGTGCCCTTCATTTCGGGTATCATGTGCCGGCAGAATGGCTGGCCACTGTCATTTTGGAGGTGATTAATGCCTGTCCTCTTTCTCTCTCTCTTTCTCTGCGGGCACTCTCTAGGTACGGCAGCTCAGCTCCACTGATGAGTTCATTCTGACGAAAGTGAAGCCGAACAAGCCGAAGTTGGACGGACTGACGTACACGACGCACTACACGCGAAACGCCAAAACACTTCTGAAGTTGTCCACGCCAGCAATCACGCCGCAGAGTAGCTTTCGTCGCTTCAAGAGCAGCTTCGGCAAGTCGGCCTCATCGCCGCAGCAGCTCAATGAGATCGAACAGGCGGACAGTAGTGGCAGCAGCAGTGGCAGTGCCAGCAGGCACCGCCACAACGGCCAGAGCGGCCACGCTGAAGCAGCTGTGTCCAGCGGAGCGGTGGTGGTCATCGGCGGTGGTGATCCACTGCCGGTCCACTCGCTCACGTCACTGTCAGCCACCGCTCACTCAGGGCGGCACCTGTCAAAGTTGGGCTCCCGGAACCGACATGCACTGCAGCGCTCCAGCAACCTCACACTGGACAGGACGGAGAGAAATGGCAAAGCGGAGCGCAAGTGGCGGTCAGTGTGGAGTGTGAGCAGTCTCACCGAGGGCGGCTACACCTCCGGCGAGGAGAGGCCACCGGAGAAGAGGAGAACTGATCACTCGGCCAACAACTCAGCCATCAGCTCCTTCTACCGACATGCAAACGCCGGCACCGGAAGTAAGCTGAGCTACAGCAGGCGGGAGGTGAAAAAGGCAAGTCACAGAGAGAGAATCGGCACTGAGACAGCACTTTCTGACAATACAGAGTTCTCTCTTTCATTCTCTTTTTCCCTTACGAATTCAAGTGCAGGCTCAGAAGCTGTTCATCATAGTGGTCTTCTTCATGATCTGCTGGCTTCCGCTCTACACCTCAAACACTGTCCAGGTAGGTTTCAGTTTTCGAGTTCAAAAATTGTGATTGACTTGAGTTCTTTTTGTTTTCTTCTTCCCCTGCAGGCAATCTGCCACCACTGTCCGACGCCCTCCAACACCTGGCTGGACGTCCTCATCATTCTGTCGCATATCAACTCTGCCGGTTCGCCCTTCCTCTACGCATTTCACATGAAGGACTTCCGCCAGGCACTACGTCGACTCATCTGCAAGGGGGCCATCAATAAGCACAAACTGCGCGACCTAAGACGCGAAGAGTTGCTCTTCAGCATCAGCGGCCATCGCAGTAGGACACAGCTGCACACCATTCCAGCGCAGACCAAGGCAGCAGCAGCAGGAGATCACACCAGCGAACCGAGTACTTCCACTGAATCCAAACATGTGCCTCGTACAGTGAAGCAGTACAGAACGAAGAGCAGTTCGACAAAGCAAACTCGCGATGTACGACCCAGATTCGCAAACGTGCCTAGGTGCTGCATTGAGGTGGACGTCGACGTGGAGGAGACCAAAGAGGACTGCAGCATGAGCAGCTAGTTCCACTAGGACAAAGATGTTGCTACTATTTTATTCGTTGATGTACCTTCCAGAGATTTACTTGCTGTATTCAGGCAGATTTTTGTTCAATGATATCAATAATAAAAATGACAGGTTCGAGATGTTTATTTGACTGATGAAATACTTGCGTAAATTTTTTTGCAAATCTAATATAGATCAAGATAAGAATAAGATTGCGAATGAGCGGAAACTCCAACGATTACTCTACGTTTCGTTTCCCTCGCGAATCTCTGACACTGTGAATCGCCACCAGGGGCAGCACTGGTATCACTTTTCGCTGTTTTGCCGGACGAAATAGCGCGACTGCAGCCAGCTCCTGTGCATGCAGTCTGCAGTGTGCTTTGTGTTCTCTGTTTTCCTTTTGCCTTTCTCCAAATCTGCAAATCTTACCCGGCGACTGCTGCCTTTCCCAACACAACAACAACAATAACAACAAACTTCAAAGATGGAGGGGGAGGACAGCGAGGTGGACTACCTGCTGGAGGCAGAATCTGTCATTGAGCACTACCAGTCCAAGCTAAGGGCTACCAGCGTTGATGCGTTTGAAGATTTAAAAGAACATGTTACCATAAGCAACAGCGCTCTCACGCTTGACTTGCTGAAGAAACGATGCACTCTTCTGCAAACTATCACCGGCATCTACCACTTCTTTGAGAGCGCTGACTTGCCGGTATCAAGTGCAGATCACATTCTTCAACTGCTCGTAACGGAGGGGAAAATTCCATCGCGTTGCTTAACAAATAAGCGCTTAACCTCAACATTGCCACCATCAACATTGCCTGTCAAAGATAGCAAAGCCGAATCAACTTGTCGACAAAGCAAAGCGTTCAACAAATCATCAACAGTCGTCAGCGGTTCTATTTCTAAATCGACAACCTCAACTCAAAGTAGTTCTCGTTCACAACTTTCTCACAATGCTGCCTCAACTTCGGTCATCATTCCGGCTCAGAAAGCGCCGGTTGTCAGTGCCTTGTTGCCTGAATCCCTAGACATTACCTCAGGTGCTAGGGATTCGATTGTGGAGCTAGCAAAACAGGAAGTTCACGTTTTGCAAAGAATAGCCGAATTACGCAAGAATGGCATGTGGTCTATACGGAGGCTGCCCAAAGTTGCCGAGCCGTCTCGGGTTAAAGCTCACTGGGACTATCTGCTTGAGGAGATGTCATGGCTGGCGGCGGATTTTATGCAAGAACGCAAATGGAAAAGAAATTCTGCAAAGAAATGCTCTAAAATGATCACAAAATATCATTCACTTAAAGGCGGCCAAGCTCAGCGAATAGAAAAGGAGGAACAGATAAAGCTGAGACGAATCGCTTCAAACATCGCAAAGATGGTCAAAACATTCTGGTCTGAAATTGAAAAGTTGGTAGAACACAAGCAAGAGGTGCAACTTAAAGAAAAGCGGAAAAAGATTCATGACATGCAGCTACGATTCATCGTTGACAAAGCTGATCATTTTACTGAAAAGTTAACGCAGGAATTTGTCACTCCTTCATTGAAAAACTCCCGGGCCCCATCTGTTGATTCGGACCAAATGTTGATCGACGAGCTTGAAGTCCCACAAACAAGGAAAAATAATCGAATCAATGAGCTTAAAAGAAAGGAACTTGAACTGTCAAAAGACCCCGATGAGAACGACGCCGAATTTGAAAAGGGCAGTTCTTGCTCAGACGATGACGAGGAAACTATCGCCAAAGAGGAAGATCAAGAGACAAAAGAGACAATGGATCCTAAAGTGGAGCTTAACGAGCTTGAATCCGAAGCTAATATTCCGATTGAAGAGTTGCTATCTCGCTATGGATATGACAGTGAGATGGCCAATTCTGAACAGACCAACTACACTACTGCCGAAGAGGAAACTGAAATGGATGAAACTGATAGTGAAGAAACGTCTAATGAGAACGAAAACATTGACATCACCTATTTAGTCAATAATGTCGATAACGTAAGTACAAGTGCTGTGTTTGGTTTTAAGCGGGGTAATTACATTTTCATCAAACTTTTCTATCATCATTAGAATGACTCGGGGCGTGAAATTACTGAAGCGGACGCTGCAGCAGCTGCTGAAAGCATTCAACCCAAAGGAAATACTCTCTCTTCTGTGGAGGTGATTACCAAGGTCCCATTCTTGCTAAAGTTTCAGCTTCGAGAGTACCAGCACATTGGCCTTGACTGGCTAGTGGCGATGAACGAGAAAAACCTGAACGGCATTCTGGCCGATGAAATGGGTCTTGGAAAGACTATACAAACCATTTCACTAATTGCTCATCTCGCCTGTGAAAAGGGCATCTGGGGGCCCCATCTAATTGTCGTGCCTACCAGTGTCATGCTCAACTGGGAAATGGAGATAAAAAAGTGGTGTCCAGCTCTCAAAGTTCTCACCTACTACGGAAATCCTAAGGAGCGGCGTATGAAGCGAAAAGGTTGGACAAAGCAAAACACTTTCCACGTGTGCATCACTTCGTATAAGTTAGTGGTTCAGGATCACTCATCGTTTCGCCGGAAAAAGTGGGTGTATTTTATTCTCGATGAAGCTCAGCACATAAAGAACTTTAAATCTCAACGGTGGCAAATGCTGCTAAACTTCAACTCAGCGCGACGCCTTCTTCTCACGGGAACGCCCTTGCAGAACAACCTGATGGAGCTGTGGTCTCTTATGCATTTTCTAATGCCGAATGTCTTTCAGTCACATCGCGAATTCAAAGACTGGTTTGTCAACCCTGTCACTGGAATGATCGAAGGCAACCAGGAGAATGATGAAATTATAAGGCGACTTCACAAAATACTTCGACCATTTCTTTTGCGGCGACTGAAATGTGACGTTGAAAAGCAACTTCCCAAGAAGTATGAACACATTGTCCAGTGTTCACTGTCCAAGCGTCAACGGCAGCTGTACGATGAGTACATGGGAGAGGGAGAGTAAGTTTGAAGTTCATGTTTGTTTTCACTTCCATTTTAATGGGTAACAATGTTCACTTTAATTACAGA